ATTATTGATGAAATTATTATGTTCAGGTGAATCGAGTAAAAAATTAATCAAAGTGTACATATGAAAAAAAAAACTTAAAATAAGGGTGTATGTTTGTCAAATGTATATCTTAGAGGATTGAAATAAAAGGTTAGGAAAAAAGTAAAAAAAAAAAAAAAAACAAAAAAACAAACAAATCTCCAAATTAGGATGTATTTGAAATAATTATTTTATTTGGGTGAAAAAATTTTAAAGGGCTGCTATTTATTAAATGTATATTTCAGGGAATTGAAATGAAAGGTTAGGAAAGAAAGTAAGAAAGAGAAAGAAAAAGTGGACAGTGTACATATGAAAAAAATAATACAATAAGGATGTACTTGAAATAATTATTTCACTGAGGTAAAATAATATTTCAAGGATTATATTTGTTAAATGTATATTTTAGAGGATTGAAAGGAAAGGTTAGGAGAGAAAGTAAAAGCAAAAAAAAAAAAAAGCTGCAAATGAGGATATATTTGAAATAATTATTTCAGTGGGATGGAAAAAATATTTTAAGGGCTATATTTGTTAAATGTAAATTTAAAGGATTAAAATGAAAGGTTAGGAAAGAAAGTAAAAAACAAAAAAACAAAAAAACAAAACAAAACAAAACAACGAAATAACTTGACCAAAAATATTTTTTTTCTTAATGCAAAAAAAAAAAAAAAAAAAAATCTTTGACCAAAAGGAAACAAATGATGTATATATGAGTGCGTGGTGGAGCCAGAATTTTTTTTCTTTGTTAGACGGAAGGCGTAAATGAAACCAAAAATTTAAATTAAACTACAACACAATAATCTCTTTATCTTCATTTATCTATTTGCATCTTTGATTTATTAGAGTAAAATGGAAATTTTTAGGTAGGGGAGGGGGGGAAATATTTAAAGGAGCTCGTGGGCCGCCAAGAGGTTAGCTGCCCCCTCTAGGCCTCACCTAGTTTGGTCCCTTTGTGTGTGGACATAAATAAAGAAATTAGTCAACAAATCTGATATTAAAGAGAAAATTGGTGAATTAAACCGTTTGAATGTATTGTTTTAAAAATTTTACTCTTTACTCTTCATTAATTTCACATTGACTAATATAGTTTATTGACTAAAGAATATTAATCAAGTATAAAGGGTAAAAATCGGAGACACGCACATTGTGAGAGATATTTATTTCATTTTCCTAATATTGAGAAAATATTACAATTATTCCTTAAAATGATACATCAGCTTATTATTAATCCTTAAATATTAACTCTCTTATTTCTTCCATTTTATACTAGAACTAGTCAAATGGCCTATTAATAGATGACCAAAATACCTTCAATGGTCCATTAATAATTTACAAGATCTAGAGGTATTTGGTGGCCGGTCCATTGATCATTTATAATTGGGAGAAAGAGGAAAATAGGTTAAGACTTGAGATGAATTAAAATTAATAGGCTAATAATTTACATAAGTTAATAAATAGGCCAAATTACTGTTTTTGTCTATAACTTGTCTAGTTATGAATCATAACTTGACAAGTTATTGTCCATAATTCACAGTTTTTATCCATAACTTGTCTGGCTATGAACCATAACTTGACAAGTTTGTCCATAACTTATCTGGTTATGAACGATAACTTGACAAGTTATGGCCTCTTAATTTCTATAACTAAAAATTGACCTATATACTTTCTTAAGTTTTTTATATTGGTTTATTTTCTACTATTTCCGTTTATAATTTAACAGATTACGCAGTCATTGAACGACTATAGTCTGTCAGAATATAATTTATAGTGCATAGTCCTATTTCAAACAAAAACGGAAGAATACAGTTTCAGATCGCTCATGATAACAGTTCATACACAAACAAACTTTAACACTAACTAAATTTCAAATACTCCAACGAAAATACTAGGAAATTGGAAAAAAAAAAAAATACAAAATACAAACAAAAAGGACGAAGAAGAGCAACAGAGATTGCCGAACGAACCTCCGCCATTTAACTTGATGGCGCTATGCAATTTAGCGACGGCAGGGGTGAAAAATGGACGAGGTTCAGAAACCGCTGGAGATGGAGCAAGTCCGCAAGAGATCAGCGTCGTTATACGCGTTTGGAACTTTCCTCGCGCCGATGACGAGAGAGAAGGTACGCCGGTGAAAGAGATCGCGATGATTTTGCGATCTCTCAGCGACTGCGACTTCCAATCGTAACGGCAAACCAGAGAACAACGACGCCGACGTGACATCGGAAGCGAACGAAAACGACAACGGCGCGACAACGGGCTTCCCACGCGGCGACGACGACTTCTCTTGTCACGACAATGGCATAAAGAATGGTTGGAGAAAGGGATGGGAAGAAAGAGATCGCGATGATTTTGCGATCTCTCAGCGACTGCGACTTCCAATCGTAACGGCAAACCAGAGAACAACGACGCCGACGTGACATCGGAAGCGAACGAGAACGACAACGGCGCGACAACGGGCTTCCCACGCGGCGATGACGACTTCTCTTGCCACGACAATGGCATAAAGAATGGTTGGAGAAAGGGATGGGAAGATAGAGAGTAGGGCAGCGGGGGATGGAAATTGAATTGAGTGAAGTATTTACTAGTAACAATATTTACCGAATTCAAACTTGAATTCAACCAAGTAATTCTACTAAATTCAAAAATCAGTTCAGAGTACTACAAATATATTTTTAAAAATGTTGAGATACCGATTTAATATTATCAAAAATACAAAATATCAAAAGTATGCTTTACTATAACACGAAGTACCGAAATGAATTTATCCCTTTCTTTATTTAACCTCACTCCTGATCACTTTTAATTATAACAAGTAACTTTTACTCTTGATGCGCGTAGGTGTTTAACAAGGTCATAGTCGGTTTATTTTATTTTATTTTATTTTTTTAATTTCAGATTCTCTTCAGGGTGGTCTTATGTAGAAGTTACTACTTAATTAGTCCTTATGGGACTGTTATATTCTTTTGTGCTTATGGGATTTACTAGAAAGGTTCTTACCAAGGTCTGTGTAGTTTCGGTTTTACATTAATGGCGTTAATTTTCTGCTTGTTTTTATTAAGTAACTTCCTAGAGCCCTTTAGGATTTTCAATATTATTATTCTTTTCTCAGGTTGATGTATAAATTGTTTTTCGATGTACGTTCTGAATCTTTGGTTAACTTTTTGTTTTTCTTTTTTATTTAGGCCTCGTTCATTTCACCGATTCGAGTTTTCAGTTTTAGGTTTCTATAGTAAAAAGCTCTTAGAAAATGTCACATCTAACTTTTTTTACTACAGTGAAAAACTCTCAGAAAATGTCACATCTCAGCTCGAATTGAAAACTCGAATCCGTGAAGGAGCTTAATTTGTGATGGGAGCTATAAGGTGTGCCGACATAGTTAGGATGTCTCGTGTCGTTTTGAGGTTAATTGCTCCGTCTTATCATTTATTCAACTCTTAATGAGTAAATAAAAAGAGTACGGACAACCGAGAAATTTCTCGAGTAGGGATCTCAAGACCCCCACCACGTCCTGATATGCTACCCCGAATAATTGATACTTTCCTTTATGTTTAAAACAAAAGGACATGTTGATTAATGTTAATGTTATCTAAGAGATTCTTAAGGAAAAATGAGATTGATCATGATCATTAGATTGATGACCCCGACTACATGATAAGCAAGAACTTCCATTATTAAAACCGGAAAATCTTTGTTAAATATTTTTAAAGGGAAAAAAACCAGATTACAAGTTGGATCATCCATCAAGTATCCCTACTTCTGATTGATCATTTAATTTACCATTGGAGATAGCTTTTTCCCATAAAGGTGCATCTTTCCAACCTAACTTAGGCCACACCACTAGCTATGTGACTGATATTCACTTTTTACCAAAATGTCAAAATATAAACGTTTAAAATAAGGGTGGCAATTCGTGTCACATGTTGGGTTCGTATCGTGTTTTGATTGTTTCTTTTTAAATTTATAGTCAACCTGAACACGATCCGTGACACGAAATTTTTTAAAAATCACAACATGAACACGATACGACCACTTTACAGGTTAACACGACACGACACGAAAATAACCCATGACACGAAATTGACCCATGAACCCAAAATTGATACGAAAATTGTTACGAAAATTGTGTCCTTTTATTTAGTTTTTTACATATTAAAAATAACTAAAATATAAACGTTTAAAATAAGGGTGGCAATTCGTGTCACGTGTTGGGTTCGTATCGTGTTTTGATTGTTTCTTTTTAAATTTATAGTCAATCTGAACACGATCCGTGACACGAAATTTTTTAAAAATCACAACATAAACACGATACGACCACTTTACAGGTTGACACGACACGACACGAAAATAACCCATGACACGAAATTGACCCATGAACCCAAAATTGATACGAAAATTGTTACGAAAATTGTGTCCTTTTATTTAGTTTTTTACATATTAAAAATAACTTAAAATTCATAACACACTAAAATACAATAACATCCATTGAAATTAAGCAAATAATAGTATAAAATTTTGAGTATAACTATCATGATATCATAAGTTCATAATAAAATCAAAAATATGTAATGAAATATATATGTATTTTTTAGTTTTTTACGAGTTTCATGTCGTGTTTGGGTTAGGCATGTCCAACTCGAAATTGACTTGTGTTTTTCGTTTCAATTTCAGGTCGACCTAATTCTGACCCGAACCTCTTTTTCTCAACCCTAACCCACAAAATTCGTGTCGTTTTCGAATCGTGTTGATGTGTCGTGATCCATATTACCGGTCCTAGTTTAAAATATGTTTCACTCTCCAATATGTGGAACTCTCATTAGTGTGGTTATTACCCTCGTACTATTGCCTCTTTCTGTTTGGTTTTCTTTTTAAAATTTAACAAAGCAAACAACTGAAAGCCTGGCTATTGTCTTTTTACATTATTTGGTCAAACAATCAACATAAATAATTGCCTCTTCTGTTCATTATCTCCTATAATATCACTCAACCTCCATTCTATTCTTTCCCATATTCTACAATATGTCAACCTTAAACAACAAAACCATAGATTATCACAACAAACAAAGCTATCCTCATTGGTATTCACCAGAAACAGGAATCTACAACAGCACATATCCTCCAATAAACCTCCCTTCCGACCCTTTTCTCGATGCCGTTTCCTTCCTTTTCTCGCGCCAACACGAAGGGGTTACGGCCCTTATTGATGCCCCATCTGGGATTTCAATACCTTACTCGGAGCTCTACCCTTTGGTCAAATCCTTCGCCTCTGGTCTCCACTCAAAGGGCGTCTCCAAAGGCGACGTGGTTTTGGTTTTGCTTCCGAACTCCGTTTACTTTCCGGTTATTATTATGGGGGTGATGTACTTGGGAGCCATTTTTACTCCCATGAATCCTCTAAGCAGTGTCACCGAAATCAAGAAACGCGTCACCGATTGCAAGCCCTGTCTTGCTTTCACCGCCCCGGAGAAAGAGGAGGTCTTTCAAAAACTCGGGGTTGGTGCAATTAGGGTTCCTGAAGGTGTGACCTACTTGGATAAGAGAAGTCCAAAAACTGGTAATTTTTCGGATTTTTCTAAGCTTATTTCATGTCATGACTTTGACAATATGGCTCCAAGGCCATTGATTAGGCAACAAGACACAGCGGCAATAATGTACTCTTCAGGAACCACAGGTGTGAGCAAAGGAGCTGTAATAAGTCATGGCAATTTCATAGCCATGATGGAGCTTTTTGTGAGGTTTGAGGTCTCACAATACAAGGAATTTTACTCACCTTCGGAGATTGTTTATTTAGTATTTCTGCCAATGTTCCATATATATGGACTTTGTCATTTTGCAATAGGAATGTTATCTCTAGGCTCTACAGTTGTTGTGATGAGTAAATATGATGTGAAAGAGGTGGTGAAGGCCATTGAGAAATATAAAATTACACATCTGCCCCTTGTTCCACCAATATTAGCAGCCTTGACAAAGGTTGCCAAGGATGACATTGAGGGTAATGGTGGTAAAACTTTTCAAAGCTTGAAGCAGATTTCATGGGGGGCTGCTCCTTCAAGGAAGGTTGCCAAGGATGATATTGAGGGTAATGGTGGGAAAACTTTTCAAAGCTTGAAGCAGATTTCATGGGGGGCTGCTCCTTCAAGTAGGAAAATGATTGAGGATCTTGTTCAGACCCTTCCTCATATTGACTTAATCCAGGTACCAATTTACAAGGAATAATATATAGTATAATTTAATTATAGTTCAATAAGCTGTTGTCTATTTCTCCATAACTTTAAATTAATAATGCTTTAATTTTTATTTTATTTTATGTTTTGGATTCATTCATTAATTAGTTTGATTATTATTATTAATATTAATATTAGTATTATTATTATTATTATTATTATTATTATTATTATTATTATTTGTTAATTGTCCATATCAATCCGTTAAGTATGAAATCTCAAAGTTTGATATATATATATATATAAATATATATATATATATAATTGTGGCTACGTACATATAAATCCAATAATGGATACTTTGGACATGTGTGTTACATATTTGGAAAAAAAACAAAGGGAGTAGCTTGAGTATCAAATTTCCATTTTTAAATTTCTCTCAATTATTCGCGACAAATGTGACTCTTATGGACATTAGCAGAGAAAAAAAAAAGTGAAAAAAAAGGCCAAAAAGTTGAAACTAACTTTCATTATTTTCTTTTCTCCCTTTTTTTCTTTCCTTTTCTTTTCTTTTCCTTTTTTGTTTTTTCGTTTAGGGTTATGGCATGACTGAATCGACCGCAATTGGAGCACGTGGATTGAATACCAAAAAGTTGAGGAATTATTTTTCAGTTGGACTTTTGGCACCAAACACGCACGCCAAAGTGGTTGATTGCAGCACGGGATCCTTGTTGCCACCTGGCAAGAGTGGTGAACTTTGGTTAAAAGGGCCAGGAATTATGAAAGGTAATTATAAATAATTTTCCTGGTTTCTTATACTTCTGAATTTGAGCTTAAAATAATGCCTATAGTTTTGACAATTGCTTAATATTTAACTCTTTCCATGAAATGTTGTTATCACATGACACACATGTTCATTATATATATTAAGGGGAAAATGTCTTTTCAGTTTAAAGACAAAACTATAATTGTTTTTTTTTTTTTTTTTTCTAATTGAAAAAGTCTTGATTGTTCTTCCATCACCAAATCCCACCATTTTTTTTATTATAACAATATTAATTATAGTTTGACTTAATATTTTACTGTTGATCTCTAGGTTACCTAAATGACCCAGAAACAACAATGTCAGCAATTGATAAAGATGGATGGTTACGTACGGGTGATATCGTTTACATTAACCAAAATGGATACTTGCATATAATTGATCGGTTAAAAGAGATGACCAAATCCCACCATTTTTTTTATTATAACAATATTAATTATAGTTTGACTTAATATTTTACTGTTGATCTCTAGGTTACCTAAATGACCCAGAAACAACAATGTCAGCAATTGATAAAGATGGATGGTTACGTACGGGTGATATCGTTTACATTAACCAAAATGGATACTTGCATATAATTGATCGGTTAAAAGAGATGATCAAATACAAAGGATTTCAGGTATAAAGTAATTTTTCAAGAACGACCCTTATTAGACCATATGAGTTGTGGTGTCGGATACCATTCACTCTTTTATCTTTCTTTCTTTTTTCTTTTTTTTTTTTTTGACATCATACGTCTAAGAAAATGCAACTACTCTACAGATTGCTCCAGCGGATTTGGAAACTGTGTTGACTTCCCATCCTGAGATACTGGAAGTTGGTGTAACGGGGTAAGTGTAAAGCTCCCATTGAAACTCGCATATTCTAATTTAAAATATTTTTTAATGGAGTTTCTCTAATAAGATTGTCTTACTTATATGATCAGTTTTTGACAGTTGAATCTGATAAAAATCACATTAAATCACTAAAATATATTTAGAATAGACAATTTTTGATGTACTAATAAAAAAACTTTTAATAATTTATTTTTTCGGGACCTATGAGAAAAACTTCCATTTTCTTAAAATTTGCATTACCCATTTCTAAAATTCAACCTAGCACATGTAGTGTCTTTTGAGACCACAACTTTGAATTAAAAAGTAAGGCATTATGGAAGATCAATGGGGTAGAATCTAGGAAAAGCGACACAAGAATATAGAAAAATATTAAGAAAGTAAAATATCTATCTTCTACAAGATCTGATAAAATCACATGAAACATAAACATACATGTGTATATGAATACAAAAAGAGAATTATTCTCTCTCCGTAGTTATATGAATACAAGAGAATTAGGAAATTCGTTCTAGTAAAATCAGAAAAAATTAACTACTGATAATGCCTCACTTTCAGTTGTCAAATATGTATTAAAAATTGTCTGTTATGCATATTTTTTTAATATAATGTAATTTTAACCGGATTCAACAGTCAAAAACTAGTAATATCAATGTAGAGGTCCTATCAAAGAAAGTTCCAAAGAATTATCAGAAATAGAATAAAAACATTAAAAGAATTGCTTTTCATCTTATAAGTCATGAAGTGACTCTAATGCCCATTTAGGGGGCTTTTTTTTCTCTGTAAAATGAGAGTGAAGAAAAAACCCATAATCTTATAGACCTTATAGACATATAAGAAGTGAGAATGAGGTTGATTAAGTTTTTTACCTCAACTAAAAATCTAATGGTTCACATGAATCATTTTCTTTTTACTTTGAATTCAATAGTCAAGACTTATACACATGGCTTATGCATTCTCCCACACCTCATCTCACACCTCACACTACTTTAACCTTGTTTGGTTATTTTATTTTATTTCATAAGTGATAGTTGCTTTATTAATTAAAAAAAATAATGATACCATTTTTAGATAAGAAATGAATATAAACTACACACATATTCTAATAATCTTAGGGGAAAAAAACCTCTATATTTGTGTAGATTGTAAAATTAATGAATTACTTGATTATAACTGTTTAACTACTCAAAAAAATTATCACTTCTTAACATAAATATCTTTTGTTACTTCAAACTTTTTTTTTAAACGTCATCACATATAAATATACAAAATTTAAAAATGAAAATGTGTATTAATTATATATATATATATATTCTCATAACCCCTAATAATATGCAAAATCTTTGTATACATTAAAAATTAATTAATTAACTAATTACTCATTTACCACTTTCTAACTACACTACAAGAAAAAAAGATTTTAGTGGGAGAAATTCTCCCTGCTAAAAGTTAAGGGTCGCCTCAAAAACGCTATAGCTCGCCGTTATAACTTCGTAGTTATAAACTAGTAGCGGCAATTTTGAAATTTATTCTAATTACTTTTACAAAGTTTGTAGCAATGAAAATTTTCGCCGCCATAGAATTTCTTTTTTTTTTTTTAAATAAAAAACATATATTCTAATAATCTTAGGGGAAAAAAACCTCTATATTTGTGTAGATTGTAAAATTAATGAATTACTTGATTATAACTGTTTAACTACTCAAAAAAATTATCACTTCTTAACATAAATATCTTTTGTTACTTCAAACTTTTTTTTTAAACGTCATCACATATAAATATACAAAATTTAAAAATGAAAATGTGTATTAATTATATATATATATATATTCTCATAACCCCTAATAATATGCAAAATCTTTGTATACATTAAAAATTAATTAATTAACTAATTACTCATTTACCACTTTCTAACTACACTACAAGAAAAAAAGATTTTAGTGGGAGAAATTCTCCCTGCTAAAAGTTAAGGGTCGCCTCAAAAACGCTATAGCTCGCCGTTATAACTTCGTAGTTATAAACTAGTAGCGGCAATTTTGAAATTTATTCTAATTACTTTTACAAAGTTTGTAGCAATGAAAATTTTCGCCGCCATAGAATTTCTTTTTTTTTTTTTTAAATAGAAACCATGTCAATTCACATTTACATTTGCAAAAATTCCAACCGCTCTGTTTTTCATTTTTCTACACTTAAGCCTTCAACATTCTTCAACATTATTCTGTCTGGCCTTTACCGATTCGAGTTTTACTACAGTAAAAAATTCTTAAAAACAGTCACATCAATTTTTTTATTATAGTAAAAAGCTCTCACATAAACTTACATATCAACTTTGTAATAAAATAAAATAAAATATGCAAAACCCATCAACACACACATGAACTAAAGTGTGGAAGAGGGTTTAGAGGGAGTATAAGGCTAGGGGGTCTTTGAACAGAGAGGGAGAGAGAGAGAAATTAAAGAAACTAGAAGAGAAGAAAGAAAGAGGTAAGAGAGAGACGTGTGAGAAGAGGAAGAGTCCAGATATTTAAGGAAAAATATCAAATTTATATTCAACAAAGAACAAAAAAACTTATTTTTTATGAAAGAGCACTACTTTTGGCGCTCATTATTTTCCCAAAAACTAATATTATCGCACCATATGTTTTCTTTTTTTTTTTTTTTTTTTTTTTTCGAGCTT